ATGATTTGCACTTTGCAGTCGGATATAATAAAAGATGGAATTAGATCAGGGCCTGCAGTCAAGCTTGATTTCAATTTAGAGATAGCTCGTAAGACCTCTTAAGACTTCGCAGATATCGTTTTTCACAAATAAAAGATTGGGATTCAGAGAATAATCGACAGGAGTGGAATTTGGATTACCACTTGTGATTGTAAAAGAGCTAGAAAAGTATCATGCAAAGGATTGAACAATTTTTTGTGGGTCTGAGACCAAAACATCGTCCATACACATGATGGAGGGGATGGAAGTCCTTTTATTTAATGAATTTACGTAACTCCAAAACCGTTTAGGATTAGATTTAATGTCTGTATTGAGTTTGTTCATGTAGTTGTTATATGCAGAATAACTTAAAGACTTTATCTTGGATCTCATTTTTTTAAATTCCTCGTAATCCACCTGTCTTTTATTTTTTTTAAATTTCATCCAAAATTTATGCTTCCGCTTTTTAAGCAATATCATTTCTTTGGTAAACCAAAATGGATATGTACCCAAAGACCTTGCCTTTTTAGGAACATGTTTGTCAAAAATTGCTTTCAATTTTTCGTAAAAGTTCGCTACAGTAACTTCAATGCTAACACTTGTGTCAAGGAAGGACCAGTTTGAGGAAGCAATGTCATGATATAACGAAAGAAAATTAGTCTTTCTAAAATTATACCCGGATGAACCAGTAACAGGAAATATATCACCTTTAGTTCTTGTAATATCCCCTGTAATCTCAAGAGCTGGATGAAACTTATCTTCATCAACAAGTACATCGCTAGCTCTAACAACTTGCCATGAAATGTTACTTAAAACTACATCTAACATCCTACCCATATGATTAACTATGCAGTTAAATTGTTTCAAATTAAGGAAGTTTGTAAAAGACAAGTATGAGGTGTGAAAAGAACTCCTGCTTTGCTGCGAGTTTCTTAAAATCTCCGGCATATTAAAGTCACCCAAAATGAGTAATTCACCGTCATAAAGATGATGCGCCACCATAAGTGCTTCAAACAAAATCATACGATCTCTGATGCCGCAGGAAGGTGGGATGTAAAAGTAACGCAGACATATAAAGGCTTGTAATGAAACAACACTTTAACGAATAGGATGTCACTACCTGGAATTTCTGAGAAGTTATCACATATGATATTGTTATTAATTTAGTAGCTTTCAATTCGGCTTTGACACCCAGCAACACACCGCCCCCTTTTTTGCTATTAACTGACAAAAAGTCACGACCTGGTCGAAAGACTTGAAATTCACTTAAATTGAAAAGTTCTCCATCCTTAACACTATTATTTAACCATGTTTCTGTCAGAGCTATGAAATCGTATTGAACGACAGTAGATGAAAGAAGAAAGCTATTAAGTTTTGTGTTCAGACCCCTAACATTCTGATTGTAGCAGACAATATTATTACAATTTGTCGAAGTATGACTTGGAGGAGAATTATTTAACGACACTGATGATTGCTACAAACTGCTACAAAGATATCGGATTTCATCTTCTCAATTGTAAGTTTATACAAGCGACATTTGTTATAATCCCAGCAGGCATGTAAGATGTCTTCATCGTTTAGATTTTCTTTGACTTGTATGTTAGAGCAGTTGACACATTTTAGGTTCTCTTCCGTTGCTTCACGGCTCTTTAGATCATGTGGACCAGAACATCTTGGACATGAGATTTTATTCTTGCATCCTTTGATAGAATGATTAAAACCGTTGCACTTGTAACAGCGAATTACATCAACTGCATCATATATATTACAACTGTCTAGTGCTATTAAACAATGGCCAAAAGACAACGCCCTTTTGTACGTATCAACATCATTATCTGAAAGTAATTTGTACAGTTTTTTATAGGCGAATATTTATGAAGTTTATACTACGAACAATCAAAGAAGATATGCTTATTGTGTTTGATCAAGAACGGAACGATTTGTTGTTCTCCTATATCCTCGGAAATACCTGCAATACGTAGACGTGGCTGAAGTGTTTCTAAATTACTGATTTCATATGATTCCTCCAGTTTTTTTTGCTGTGCTATCTTCATCAATTCATTAGGATTCTGACATTTGAGAAGTACTCCACCGTTTCTAACATTTTTAACCTTCGAGATGTCAAGCTCAAAACTCAGCGGATGAATATTTGTAATTATATCAGATTTAGTTTTTGCAGAAGATTGTTTATCATCCTTAGGTTTCACAATAACTGTCGAACACTTTTTAAGGGTATCTGCATATGAATGAACATTGTCATGTTCCTTCATATTACGCAACATATCAACAGGAAGTTTTTCGGTTAACTTATGAACTTCAGCACGTAACAGCAAATTCTCATTTGTTAAATTAGTAATTTGTTGACAAAACTTGGAAAAATTATCATGCAGTAATGTATTTTCTTGTTTTAGGTCCGTAATTTGTTGACTAACCATTGAGAAATTATCAACAACAATGCGACTAAAATCTACAATAACATTTTTAAACACCTCAGGCAGATTTTGCGCCGAATCAGCAAGTAAAACATTTAGGGCCGTATCGCATGCATTTTTATCAGTAGCTGCACTCGTTGTTTTAAGGGTAAATGGACTACATACCCCAAGAGTTTAACAGACCGGTCTCTTTCATCGAATTCCAAGCTGCTTTATTAAGGTTTACACAAACAATATGATAATTGGCTTCGCAATCTTTACAACAGTTTATGTAATCATCGATTTTTCCAATATTCCTGTTACACTTCCTACATTTGATAGCCATATTGCACACTAAACCCTCCTGGGTTTAATGTGCAATTGTACCAGGAATTCGAAGCGGCACCAATAAAAAGTACACTTGCCAATTACAAAGAAATTGTTAAAAACGAGATTGATAGCAGATAAAAACTCTCGGTGTCGGAACAAACTCACCGGGTGATTGGTGTGACAAAAATGTGTTGACGCCAAAAAAGCACAGGAAAACACTATATTTCCACAAAACCCAGACTAAAAGACACACGTCCGCACACGACAAATGTCATCACAATAAACAATTGTTCCCTAAATTACTAACACTGGATAATTTTTCATTTTATGTCTGGTTACACTGAAGAAAAAAATGTGTTGTTGTATACAAACAAATTTTTAATTATTTATATCTCAATACCTTACAGCATAATACCTTACAGCTAAACAGGTTTCTAGATATATAGTAGTCCAAAAGCTATAAGGTTATATGGACATCATAAAATGATCCCATTGTGTCGAAGTTAAGTTGTTTACAATAGAAAAGGTTTTAGGGTCGTAAATTACGTGTCCACTGCAGCTCGACCGGCTGTTGTGGTTTCGTTCAGGGGCGGCTTTCACTAAATATGTAAATCCACCACTCCATTATTTCTTTACTACCTGCAGCCGCTGAGGGTTCCGAAATAACTACTCGCTTTGAAAGCCGGCCCTGTTAAATGTGAGCAAGAAATGTTTAGAAGACGATTTATTGTCAACCGGTAAGCTTAGTGCAAACCACACAAAGGGGGTATTTATTTGCGGTCAACTACTTTTATAATGGTCATATAACCTTATAGCTTTGGGACTAGTATATAATAATTTGCTTCAGAACTTTTTAGGATAATTCTATTTTAAACGCAAGCCTTGTGCTTGAAGTTATTTAGACCTTCGTATGTACAATACGTACAGTCCAATAAATGCAGCTTCTGAGAAAAATTATAAAATTTGATTTTACGATCTTTTTTCTGAGAACTAAAGTTAAAAGAAATGTTAATAAAGTCGGAACAGGTGGATTATAATATTAATAATAGCAATCTATGAGGAAGTGAAGAACGCTTGATTTGTTCAATAAAAAAATTTGAGCTAACAGGGATCGAAAGCGACTGATCAGAAGAATTTTGAAAAATTTGTTGGGATTTTACCATCTACATGATATTCCTGAAACGCAAAATTTGACAACAATCAGTCCGATAGTAATCTAATAAAAATCGACACAAACGACAAACTATACCCAGACGACAGATATACGGAAACGGGAGACATATTTTTTCATACTCTAGGGGCCATGAAACGATAGGAAAACATTAAGGTAGAAGCTGCAATTCGTTGGATATTACCATATTACAATGCCTGCTTAACTTACAGTCAAGAAGTCAAAAAGTTTACTTTACTCAAAAATGTCAAATAATATTGAGTAATTAATTTTAAGTTAACAGTGTTTAATGACAAAAAATACCAAAAAATAAGCAATTTGTTTGATAATAATTTATCAAAAATTGTTTTCTCTTTTAGTTCGAACAAAATTCCTTATATTTTTTAAGCTCTCGATTTTATGAACGAAACTTAAATTTTTGTTATACATTAACACCATATAATACATCAGGCTATACAAGCTATCATCTTAAAACATATTTCGTTCAGTGTTGGTGGATTAATATAATTAATTTTTTACTATCATAATTTAAATTTTCGCAAATTACGACCAGATACCGATAAGAAACAGAACGTACTAAATTTATGAACAGTTTACCAAACATAACTTAAAGTAAAGAAAATATTAATTTTTCCTTTGATCTTACCTAGAAACTGTATGCGAGCTAACCGCATAAACCACAGGTGCGTCTATTTATTCTTAGCATGATTTTAACAGATCAAAATTCAAAACCCTATGCATTTATTGCATAAAATTCTGAGGTCATCACTAAGTTGTAACTACTGACAAAACATCAACAGCATTTTCCTGAAAAAGATACATAGCTAGTATTTGTAATCTATTGTTTGACAGCATGTGCCTAATGAATTTGATGTATTGTTTCTAAATGTATCATCGCAAAATGTATACAACGTTTTTAAAATAAACAAATTTTCGATTAATCAGGTATTCAATTTATCACACGTTGCTAAAAATAACATATCAATGCAGATAGGTCAGTTTTTTAGTATTAGCGCCCCATTCATAAAGTTAAATCAAAGTGCTGATAAAAATAAAAAACAAGAAATTACCCTCAAGGTATCCTCCGGTGACACTTCTGGCGTATTAAAATTTCCTTTAACTTCAGTCACTGTTACCATTTTGTTTTCAACACTGCATGCACATTTTTTAAAGTCACTTGATTGGTGAAACATGCACACATGAAAGGCTACGAGTAAATTAAGAACTAGCGGTCTTGAATGTAAAATACGAAATACGTCATGATAAACAGCAAATCGGCGAAAAGAAGATGATGTTGAATCATTCAACGAATATGAAGTGTGTACACCTACGTGCAGTTGTTGATAACAAATTGCGGTATATTTGTTTCTTTATTGGGTTCAGCAGACTTACTATTACAATTATTTCAAGGCAACAAAACGACCATTGTTATTCACGACGTAGCTTCTTGAGCACAGTAAATTGAAAATAACTGTGCAAATTAATACCAACTAATCCGTTATTGCAACGATGAATAGATATTTTCTTCGAATCCTTTGTGTTTTCAAGTTTGACGTGATTTTATTTACGAGCTTATAATAAAAGTCTCTCCATAAATATCCCATTTTAAAAATACCACCTAGGATAAACAAGAATTATAATTTAAAACCGAAATATAACAGCTGCCCTCAGATCCACTTTTAATTACCAAGTGTTTAATGACTTTATTTTCTAATTGGCTGCAGCTACCGTTCTAATAAACAAATTACCTAATTTAATTAAAGAAAAATAGCTTAGCAATAATATTTTGTCTAATCAATAAAAGTATCTTATTTTATCTACTTTTATCCTGTAATGTGCCATATTTCAGTTTATTAGTATGATGTCAGTTTTCTCTTTGCCGTGCTAGTGCATCAATAAGAAAAATTAGTCGAAGGTTATTTCGACAGAACTTCCCTCGTCCCTGGAGTACAATAAAACATCCAGTTTTTTCGAAAAATTAAGTTAAAATAAATATATGAATGTAATACTAAAGTAAGTGTAAAAAAGCGTGCTACGCCTATGTTTCGAATGAATTTTTTCTTTACAAAATTATGCGATGACGTCATCAACATTTTGGCAAGGATATGTGCAACTGGTTTCAAAAAAAGCGGGACAACAAATTTTTTTATCATGTAATGTTGACCAATAGTGACAATGAATGACAGTAATCAGTGTCAAAGTTTGTCATTTAATTCCTATCATCATTAATTGTCTCTCACAAAGACTTGTCTCCATGCATTATTTCAGGGAGGATTTGGAGGGGCTGTACTTAAATATTAAAAATATAAAAGTGAGTTGCCTAACATCTCTTTCTATAAACTGTCCCACTTGTCATTATATTTTAAACTCAGAATCTAGAATCCGTAACAAACTATGAAATTCATTAAAAAATTTGACGCTTGTCTTTCTGTCATTGTCCGGCTTTTTTTTAAACAAATCGTATATTAGTCTGGGTAGGTGCAGTTTAATACTAATAATATCAGTGTGGTATTCCTAAATTTTCTGGAAAATGGAGTGAATCGATTCTGGTTTATTCAATAAAATAAATTGACTCATTCATTAATTTTTTTGGAACACTAGTATAAGCAATTCTAAAAAATACTAATTCAATAATAAATCGTAAATATAATAGACTCATCACATATTGCAAATTTTGACATAATGTTATCAAATTTTTGGAGAGATAACCAGATTCATTTTGCAGATCCTGATTTAATTGATAAAATAAATTGACTCATTGATCCATTTTTTTTGTATAAGCAATTCCAAAATATATGAATTGAATGATAAATCACAAGCATAGACTCATCATATTTTGTATATTTTATATATTCGGCAAAATTTTGAGATGATGTCATCAATTTTTTGGGAAAATATATTTTACTTAAAAATATACATACCATACTTACGATAACTTTAAAACGGTTACAAGATTTCAGAGGATTCGGTTTTGTAGTAACAAAATTAAATTGCAAAATGTTGTTATACAATTTATTTTTTTTACAAAAAATTTGGATGTCTAGCGTAAAAAGTCAACCCGGATTCATAAACTACACTTGTGTGTTATATTATACAATTTAAAACCCATTTACTATGTACAATTTTGAGGTGACGCCATCATATTGTTGATGGGGATGATTGGATAAAGGTTGGTTGGCGTTTTATCATCTACATGATGTTCATAATAACAGTATAAAATTTGACAACAATCAATAGGTAGTTCCGGAAAATTCTGTCTAACAAAAATTCACCTGAACGGCGGACGGACAGACAGATGGAAACGGGTGACCTATGTTTTTGTACTCTACGGGTCATAATAACCAGTACGCGGAATTCTATCTCAGGGCTGCAATCCCCCAGTTGAAGTAAGGTGTGTTTTACGGCGAGTAGCCGGGACGCTTTGATCTGGTCCACAAGGTCGTAGCCAGTGCGGCGCTAGAAGTGTTTACAGCTAATAAAAAACTACTTCTATATTACTATATTACTTCAAGTAATAATACTCGATGCCTTTTTTAATTTTTCAACCACAGGACCACAGATTTATGATCTTAAAATGTTATATTCTGTTGATATAGTCCAAAAGAAAAATATATTTGTAATTGATAATAACACATGGAGAAAATGTGAAAGTAGCAAGTCGCCCGATGGACTAGATTAAAATGTTTCTTTAGATTACGCTTGGGAAGTAAGACTAAGAAAATATTCCGGCATATGTAGATTACTCAACTCTTAATCACCTAAACGATAGAAAAACTGGAGCTCTTGTGAATTTTCTCAAATTGACTGACTTGATTCAATTTCATGATGTTCCTAATGGTAACTCTCGTTTTTTGGACTTCGTTATGTTAAATAATAAGTGTGATTTAGTTAGGGCTAATGATTTATTATTACCTGAAGACCGTCATCATCCGAGTCTTGAAATATGCTTTAAATACAGTACACCATCGAATAAAAATTAATTTAGTAATAATAATTGCAAGATGTATAACTTTCGTAAAGCTAACTTTCCTTTACTATATGAACTTTTGTTAACTGAAAACTGGTCAATACTGGAAAGATGTGATAATGTTGATGATGCTCGTCAATTATTTTATAATAAACTATACATGATCTTTGACCTCACTGTTTCTAAATAAGTCAGTAAACCTTCTACATTCAAATATCCGCCATGGTTTACTGACGATATTATAAGAAAATTAAAACTGAAATGGAAATCTTGGAATAAATATAAACAAAATCGCCAACCGCGTTTATATAACGAATTTAAATCTTTGAGAGCTCAGGTCAAATATGATATTCGGACTGCCTACTCAAACTACATTAAAAATATTGGAGATAACCTTGGTAAAAATCCTTCTAAATTTTGGTCTCATATTCGTCTCTTAAGAAATGAAAATAGTATTCCCGGAATCATGAGTTATAAAGGTGACAAACTTACAGATTTAAAATCTATTGTGAACTCATTCGCTAACCATTTTCAACAATCTTATGTACAGTCCCAGTCTTCTCCACTATCTACAGTTACTTCTTCATCCGTATTGTGCATTGTAAATTTGAAGAAGAAAACGTCTTTAAGGCCTTACGAAAAATTAAATCCAAATTTACTTCAGGTCCAGACGGAGTTCCGGCCTTTATTTTAAATGATTGCGCTAATGCCTTTGCATATCCATTAACTATTTTGTTTAACTTGTCTCTCAAGCTCAGTATTTATCCTTCACTTTGGAAAAGATCGGTTATTCGTCCTATATTTAAAAATGGTGATAGAACGTTAATCGAGAAGTACAGACCTATTAGTCTCATGTGTAATTTTTCAAAGGTTTATGAAATTCTTCTATACGACATAATTTGCTACTGTCGACCTTATATCTCGTCCTTCCAGCATGGATTTTATAAGGGGCGATGAACTGACATAAATCTCTGTTGCTTCACTCAATTTGTTGCCGAGTCTCTTAACGCTGAAAGTCAGGTGGATGTTATTTTTACCGACATTTCAAAAGCGTTTGACAGGCTGGACCATTTCATATTGCTTGACAAGCTAAACAAATTTGGTCTTGCGGATTCTTTAATAAATTTACTTTCATCGTATCTAACTAATAGGAAGATCTCAGTCAGTCACTTGCTCCAATAATGTCCAATGTCAGCTCTGTTAACATCAATGTATCTTCAGGCGTGCCCCAGAGCACAATTTTGGACCCATTACTGTTTATCATCTTTATCAATGATATCTCAGAAAATATAGAGTCTTCTTGTCTTCTATATGCCGATGACATGAAATTATTCAGGCGAGTGAACTCTGTATCTGATTACCTTAAACTTCAAAATGATTTGAATTTGGTTAGTGATTGGTGTAGCTACTAAAAACTTATTACCTTTAAATATTGAGAAATGTAATATGATGTCATTTTCACTTGAACATAATGTTTCAAACTTTGACTACAAGTTAGAAAACACCGTGTTAAACCGTATTGACAAAAGAAAAGATCTAGGGGTGGTGTTTGATAGCAAATTGTCTTTTAGTTATCATCATGACCACATTGTGTCTGCAGCCTCTAAGTCTCTGGGTTTTATTATAATTCGTAATTCCAAACATTTTAGCAATTGTGATACTCTTTTAAGATTATATTGCTCTTTTGTACGTTCTAAACTCGAATTTGCTTCCACGATTTGGTCTCCCGGTTATAACGTTCACTGTGTTAACATTGAAAATGTTCAAAGGCGCTTTCTAAAATATTTACATGTCAAGAGAAGTATGGGTTTTATCCAGAAAGAGGTTTTCCTCAAGAACTCTTGAAGATTTTTATGTTACAGAGCCTTGAAAATAAGCGTCTCTTAAATTTACTCATTTTTCTATATAAAATCATAAATAGTAAATATGATTGTTCCCAACTGCTGGAGAAACTATCTCTGCATAGTAAATAGTCCTGACCACTTATGTTTTTATGTTCACACGCCCAGGATTAACATTCATCATTCTTTCACAACAGTTTCGACATTTTTGATTGTAAAATTGGCGATATTAAAAACCTTAGCTTAAAATAACACCATTTGCTAATACACATATTTATTACGGATTTTTGCTGTATCACTAAATTATTTTTACTTTGTTTATTTTCTGGAACCTTAGGATTGATTCTCCCCAATAATTGGATTACTCTGTAGGGAAGCACAATAATAATTTAAAGTCTTTACATTTGAATGATTCAATAATTGTCAAAATTCAAAAAGCTGTTTTGTTAGGAACATGTCATATTGTTCGTAAGTTTCTTGAACAGTCTGATCATGTCAGTCAGATTAGATTAGCACCAGTAGGTCAGAGTAGTGTAGGTCACTTTTCATGTGATGCGCGGATAAATGGTCGGTAGTTACGCTGGACTTTTGGGGATGGGGTGAGATTAGAGAATAATAGCAGACTAATTTGTATGC